AATACTATGTGGCACAGTAACACATTCTTTTTGATATATCTGCATACATTTTAATCAGATAGGCTTCTTTTGATCCACTTAAACCATTCTTTCGTTGTGGCATATAGGCAAAATGAGATGCTAATGCTTTGCCAACAGCTATAGAATGCTTCTTTTGTTCATATGGAATTACAATTGATATTTGATGTTCATCATCTCCCGGTTTAACAGTGGCCACATCTTTTCCTTGAAATAGGATGAAATTGATAGACCATCGTGGATACTGTTCTTGCCAATTAAAATCCCAATGAGAAAACATGTAGAATTCCAAAGAGTCCTCATTGAATCGTTTGAAAAATGATTCATGCTGAACAATTCCACAATAAGAACTATTCCAATGACAATAAGGATTCTCGCCGCTTATATTAGCTAAAGCAGAGATATTGTAAATTGCTCGCATCTGTGCATGAACAGGACCTAATACTGGATGATTAATAACATTGGCACTAACAAATAAAACATCTTCGTACATCATCTTTGCTTCCAACATCAGTTCGAATGCATTTGGATGAATGTAAACAATGTCATCATCAATTTTGAAGTAGTACCGTTCAGGATTTAGCGATTGATAGTGCGTTTCGAATGTCCAACCATGATCAGTGATGTTCTTTCTAAAGTACCGACCCGGATGCTTTGCTATCAATTTATTGAGATATTTAATATCCGCAACATTACTTGTTTTGACATTGAATATAACTTCAGTTAATAAACCTCCATTCTCTACCAGATTTTGTTCGAGATAACAATTCAGGATTTGAACAAAACGTCGACGTCCGTAGAAGACTAGTGCAGTCGCGTTCATATGTTGTAATTTAGGACTACGCTTTCGATTCCATCGTGACACTATCGATGTCTTACAAGAAGTTCTAGATATGTTGTAGGTTGATTTAGTCTTGAGCAATTTTACAATTGGGCTTGTATGCCAATTAAGAAAGACAAGAATTGATACACAAATGATTGCAACAACTATAATGGTTAACACAATTTTTCTCTGAGCAAGTACTGTTATTGCCTAATCGAAATTCATGAAACAATATAGTTCTATTTAAAAAATTTACGACACTCCATTAAGAACATACCATGTTTCGAAATACAATTCAATTTTTCATAAGCTCGGCCGATAAGTGATGTAGAGAAGCCTAAAAAAGACATTTTCAGCATGTTTGAGGAAGTCGGTTCCCTCATATGGAAAAAATAAACAGACTTTTCCAACAACCTTCAACTCAGACATTTGATGACCAAGTTTCTGCACGATATCTCATTATCAAAGAATAAAGAATGATCCAAGAGGATATTTAACACTTTATACAGAAAGTCTATTGCCTAACAAGAAGTTTTCAGCATTGGCAATGCTTATCTAGGTGATCATTTTAGTATAAAAATGTTGAACACTAACAGTCAGCATCCATGATGTGCAACCATCACACTCATAGAAGTATTGTCATGGTCTTATACTCGTGAATTTAAACAAAAATTTTGCCTTTTTCGCTCTTCAATGGACGAAAATCACTTTCGAAATAAGAATTTTGCCTCCCATTGAGAATGTTTGTTTCGACTAAACATAGATTCTAACTAATGTCTTCAAACAAATTTCCTCAATAATATTCAAAAATAGAATATATCTTATCGGTTCAAATGTGATCATTTTCCGATCCGCATAGATGGACAAATAGTAAGACATGAAGTTTGAAGCATGCTCTATCTAATGCGCTATGTGACTTTGCACATCATTCCAATGACTTGAAAACAGTCATATATTGAGTTGGACACTAGATTTTTTTAGAGTTGACAGCTCTGAAACTTTCAATTCATTTGAGATAATTCAATATTTTAACACAACTTTTTGTTTTTCTTTTTATATAGCTCGATAGGTATCGTCGAATTACCTAAGAAACTATAATTTTTTTCTGTATTCTTAACTTAATTAATCCAAAATATTAAACGAATTTGTGATCATTATCACGAAGCCCTTATCAAGTTGTCCAGAAATTCGTTTTTCAACGCGAGGTTTCGGGTGTTTTCATGATACAGAGAGCTCATGATCTGA